TAATAAGAAAAAATATTTAATTAAAATATAATAAATTTATTTTTAAACCTTAATATTATAGTATATATAATCCTAAAGTATAGTTTAAAATAACAGTTATTAGATTTAATATTATTAATAAGCTTTTTCATTTATTTTATAAAATATGATGTATTAGAAGTGATGATACAACATATACAGTATATATATATATAAGACTTAAAGTTTATATATAGTAAATTTACTGTATATAGATTTTATTACATATTATAAAACTGTTTTTTCAATTTATGTAGATTGGACCCCAAAAATTGATTTAATTTTGATCAAATTTGCAGATCATTTGGCCTAAAGGAAATGAGTTTAAAAATCATCTCCGTTAGGCCAAATGATCTGCAAATTTGACCAGAATTAAATACTTAAATTGAAAACATAAGCCTACCTTCAAATTTTCACTTCACGTGATGATAATCCAATAGCGAGCCTCGTTTTTAATGTAACGTTATATGATCGGAAGATCTAAACAAAACGTTCATTTTTCAAAATCTCTTACTTATCAAAAACTTGCATAAGAAACCACCTTTTGTGCTCTAACAAAAAAAATTCCTCGAGTAATTTTACTAAAACCTAGCTCTATTATAAACACTAACCTTAACTTAAACGAATTTAAAGATTTTTAAACATTGTCACGTGAAAGTGAAAATTTGACGGCGATCCTGGGTGGGTCCTGCGTAAGATCCCTGACGCAAAACATACATTTTTGATACTCCGACACCTACTTTTTTGATCCATCTAAACATATCCTAAAACTAACCAATAAGATCGCACGTTATTCTAGTAAAAATTAGTAAAAAGGATAGAAATTTTAGGATAGGTAGGTGCAAAAATGCATTCTGATTGGTAAATCGAATTTACGAAGTGTCATGTGATCTCAATTTCGATTTTATTAACCAATAATATGAAGGTGATACAGCACTAATCAAATTATAAATTTTTGTATCGATCAAACTTCTTGAAATTTTACCTATTTTTGTTTACTTGTCAAGATAATATGGTAAGTAAATATTAAATGTTTTTTATTCCAAATTATCGAAAATGACGTTTCTATTTTACAGAGCGTTCAATATACATCTCATATAGAACAACAAAGTGGTAAACTTTCGGAAAATTTATTAAATTAGTAGCAACATTCGAAACATTCTTACTAAAATTTTTTATAAATACAATTAGCTCATTCTAGTGGAATTTGGTCAGCTAGATGGTCACCACGTGGTAATGTAGTTGTTACAGGATCATTAGACAAAACCATTAAAGTTTGGTATGGAGGATAATTTTCGACAATTTTTAAAAAATCCATCAATTTTATAAATAAACCGGGTTAATTTTTAATCATTTCAAAGGGACGCGGAAACTGGAGACTTTTACCGTACCCTTCACGGACATAATCTAGGAATCATATCATTGGACATTGATCCTCTGGGAGAAAGTGCGTATTGATTCAGTAGTATTAAATCTTGTAATTTAAACATTGATTTAGATGTAGTTCTTCTCATATGACAATTACCCATTACATAGTGATAGTGTCAGTATCATTAGATAATACAATTAGAAGGTGGTCAGTAAACGATGGAATTCACCTTGAAACGATACTAGTCAAGCCTGGTGAGTCATAACATTCTCACAGCATTTTAGTATAATTTGCGTGAAGATTAATAATAAATTTTAGGTGATGCATGGAGTTGTCAATTTTCGCCATCATCACCAGAGGTACGTTATTTTGCTACCAGCTCACAAAAAGGAAAGATAGATCTTTGGGACATTACGACAACGCCTTCGAGTATAGTCCAGTCTTATTCATCTGGAGAAGGGAAATTTGGATTTTGTGCGCGTTTTGTATCCTATTTAATTGTGTCATTTATTTATTTATTTTTTTTATTTTATTTTTTGAAAATTAAAAATGAATATTTGAATTCTTAAGCAATATCTCCATTCACAAGAGCCCTAATGGTAAATTACTTGCATTTAGCACCGAAAATGACTGTATTCATTTGTTTGATGTGGAAAGTGGAAAGAACATTCACAAATTTAAAGGTAGAAATGTTGTTCTATGGTATTTTTCTTATGCCTTATTATTAATGTTTGTCATTTATCTTTTAATAGGTGAAACTGGCTGTCCTATAAGAACGATCGATTTCACACCAAATTCATCTTTACTGATATCTGGATCAGACGATGAAACAATCAATATTTATGATGTGTATTTATCAAAATTAATGAAAAATTTGCAATTATAGCTACCAATTTATGCAAAGATATACTAACGTATAGTATTGATAATTAGACACCATTTTAACCGTATAGGTAAATGCACAGGACTCGATGGTTTTGTTATGAGCGTTGCGGCAGCTGGTGATAATGAACATTTTGTCAGTGGGTAAGTTTGAGGCAAGAGGCTAAATGTATAACACTATCGTTATGTTATAATTTAATTCTGTTTAATATCCAGTTCTACGGATGGAAAGGTAAAACTTTGGAACATAGAAAATAAACAATGTTTAAGTACTGTCGGCGAGCACTCAGACCAAGTGAGAAGATTAGTAATTGAAAATTTTTTTTTCTATTCTTAATATTATGTTAAAATATGAACTTTTTAAATTATATAAGGTTTCTGCACTTTCTTGGAATCCCGATGGCAATAAATTTGTATCAGTGTCTGAAGATAGGTCATTGAAATGGTACTCCGCAACCTCATAAAATTATTCGATTCGCATCAAATTTGAGTGTTTTAAAAGGACCAATTCTATAATATTATTTATTATAGATAATGTCATAAGGATATATGGATCTAGTTCACGCATCCATTTAATAATAGATGTTTATAATAATAAATCAGATCAGATAAATTATAGTATGTAAATATAAGTGGAGCTTCTATGGCGTTTACGAATATCATGAATTATAATCCCAAATTAATAATTATAGAGTAGCATATATATCTTCGTTTTTTGACAAATTCCAAATTTAAATAAAAATATTGGTCTTCTAATTTATTTAGTTAGAAAAATTAAATAGGTTAAAGTTATTATATAGTAAAGTATAATTCTTTTCTACTAACTAGTAATTAAAAAAAATTGTTTTTATTTAATTATTTAAATAATATATTTATATATAATTTATTTATTTAATTTTTTTAAAAAATTTAAATTTATTTAATTTTTATAAAGTTTAAAAAATTAAAAAATTAAAATTTTAAATTTAAATAATTAAAATTAAGTATTTTTTTATGCTACTACATAAGTAACTTTATGTAACTATCAAAAAAATATGTAAAATTTTAAATAAAGTTATTATATACAAAAAGGTTGTAACAAAAAATAAAACATTAATTTAACTTAATTTACACAAAGATTATATCTTTTTAAGTTAGACAAATTAAAATTTTAAAGTTTAAAAATTTTAATTATATACAAATATAAAAATTATTCTCTAATTTTTTTTTTAATCTTAATAGAATATTAAATAAAATTTATTAATTATAAATTTTACTAACTTATTATATAAATATATATTATATTAAAAACTGGTATATTTTTTCTTATTTATTAGTTTTTAATCTAAAAACTATATTACTAAAAAATTTTAAATTTTATATATAAAATATTATTGAGAATATTTTTGTCTTATAAATAAATTATAACTTGCATAATAAAAAAAATAATAAAAATTTAATTAACAAATAAATTTATTATTTTATAATTTAAAAAATTGATAATAAAAAAGGAAAAATCTAAATGGTGCCCCCATGTACTTTGTACTTCTTATAGTAAAATTAAGTATATAATAGAAATTAGGATAAACTAAGTTAGAATTAGAATAGAATTAGAGTTGGCATATAGTAAAATTGAGAGAAGAATATTTTTTCTTAGTTACACAACAGGGTTTTCCTAATAAAATTTTGAGATATTATAAAAAGTCTTAAAATAGTATTAGGGTTAGGCTACGAGTAGAATTAGAGTTAGCATTAGGGTTAGGGTATAGTAAAATTACGAAAGAAATATTTTTGCTTAGTTATACAACAGGGGTTACCCTAGTAAAATTTTGAGTTATCATAGAAAGGGCACAAAGTGCATGGGGCACCGACTAGTCTTCTCCATAAAAAATATTTAATATAAAACTTGATATTAAAAAATATATTTTTTCAAAAGATATGTTAAAAAAAATTAAAAAAATAAAATATATATTATATATATATATATTATTTGTTACATTAATATAGTTGAGTCAGAATAAATGAAAAGATCTATATAAGTCATTAATAAGTAATATCGAAACTAGGGACCCCGGGTAAAAATTCACCATTTTTGCAAACAAAGGTAAATTTTCTATCATCGATGTTTATACAGAAGTCTTTACTACTATTTACACGTTGACGCGTAATACTTCTGAATGGATATAGTGTGCAAATTAAATGATAGTGATAGTCACATAACTTTAGAGTTACTGCTGAGGTACCAGTGCGGGAATTTTCTACGGAATCTCCAAAATCGGGATTTTGTCTTATTAAAATGTATTTAGTATCATCTTTATTTTTCCAGGGAACCCAAGAATCAGCATATCTTGTTGTATACGGTGGGATTGAGTAATCATCATTGTGGTTTTCGGAATTTACGAGATTGAATAGATAGGCGGTATTGTTTGTTATTTGACAGATATTTAGGACCATTTCCGTAATTATATTTTTATTGAGTTTAGTAATAATGTGAATTGTTAAGTGAATTTTTTATAATTTAGTGTATATGCGTGCATACGTACGTACATGTATATCAAAGTTTATGTTGAGAATTGATAAACGTTCTATAGATGCATACTGGTATCAATATTTTAATGTTAATATGTTAATCATTATCCGCTTTTAGTAAGTATCACTACGCCAAAGTATAAAGATGTGCCAATTGCAATTAAACAATCTGAATATAATGTACGAACTTTATATTTTATTATATTAAATTTCCTTTTCTTTTGGTTGTATTACCAATGTCTGCGGAGTAACAGCAACTAAAATCTGATATTATGGCGGGAAATTTTCTAATATTCTAAATTTTTTCTGTCGATCATATTTTCAATTAGCGATGTCTATATTTATAAACTGTCGGAGATTCAAAAAATTGTCGGAATTTGCCGATTTCTTGCGATTCGCGATACTAAATTTCCGGAACAATAGTTTTATTGTTAAGTGCTATCTGTTTAGAGTGGTTGGCAAGCTAGCAAAGTGAGCTTTTTTTTAGCTCGCCAAATAGGACTCGCGCCACTATTTGGTGAGCTAAAAAAAAGTTCGCTTCTCCAGCTTGCCAACCATCTTATATCTGATTTACATAATTCACTTAATTTGGCACATATTGCTAAAAAAAATTTTGCCGCAGTAGAAAGTTGGGATTTAAGTTCTAGTTCTATTTGATATGTGAAACTGTGCCAGATGTTGGACACAATAACCCGGATATGTTTGTCCGTAATTTATGAACTTTGACCTTTAATTAGAAAGTCTTTTGAGATATTGATTTACTATTATTAGTTTTTTATTTTTTTTGGATAGAGCACGTAATACATTTAACAACAATGGTAATGCTCTAAGGATAGATACACATGACTGGTTACAACGTCTGTGTAAACCGCTTTTTTTAAATTTTAAATTTTAAATCTATATCGATGTGCTAGAAGTTTTTTGGGGGAGCATCGGTATAACCAGTATCATGTGTACTAATGCGCCAGGCATAATAGCTAAATGTATAGGAATTTCCTAATGTGCATCATGTCTATGAACATGTGCACTTTTCTTCATGTACATAAATAGCAAAATATTTGTATTCTGTATCTAAATAAAATGATCGTTTGTTAATTTCATGTGTAAATTTAGTTATGATGATGAATATGAACGATAGAATTTCCGAATTACATAACGATAATATTCCAGAGATTCAATTTTATTTTTCCAAATGGAAATGAGCTTTTTTCCAGAAATGTGTGAAGGATAAATTCTGAAACACTCTAACTTTATTACGATTTTTTTGAAGAAATAAAGATTTTATTCTTTTTAGAAGACTAAATTATGTTTTTTTTTTGTTATAAATATCAAGTGGCAGGGCAATTTATCTAATGACAATTTCCAGACAATCTCTAAAATATCAAGTTAATTTTGTACTGATAGTAATAATAGAAATGATGTTAAGAAAATCTTTTCTTAAACTTCTTTTCCTCTTAACTTGTCTAACCCCTACTATATCTGCAAGGTTAACGCTTTCTGATATGTTTCATTTTGAACTAAATGAATACATTCCTTACATTATAGTCACAGCAATTTTTGTAATTTTTATGATTCCAATAAATAAACTTAGACCGTTCCGAACAATAATCTTTATTGCTTTGTCAACATTTTTATTCTTAGTTTTTCCAACAGTATTTTCTTACATGACGGAAGGGTTCACTATAAAAACAATAATTTTCATGGTTTTCACAATTGTCGGTGGCATAGGAACAGTATTTATAATCTTGTTACAATTAGTTTATGGTATCTCTATTACCAGCCGTCAAGAGTCTGATGGGATATTCGAGGTGCTAATACTCTGTTTATTAGTTTTAATAGCTGTTTCAATTGCTGGTGCGACTATTTATTTCATTATAATATTTTTTCAGAATGGGTTCGATGTTGAAATCCATCCAGCATATATAGTTTCTAGTTTGATAATAGGTTGTTGTTTAAAATGTTTTCAAGGTAAAATTGTATCATTAATTGTAGTTGGGATAGATTATTACATAACATTTTATTTTACTTTAGACAAAGTCAATAGAGTTTCATTATTATTGTTTTGGGCGGATTTGTGGTTTATACTATTTGGTGTTTATGCTATTATTGAAACTTTTAATGATACTGATACTAGAGAAGTTAAAAACAATGAAGCAAGCGTTAGCGTTGAGAGCAGTATTGAGAACTAGTCATTATCTAATCATTTTATTAATTTATTTGTAATTATATATATATATTAATTTTATATATAAAATATACAATATTTTTTTTAAAATTTGTGTACCGGAAGGTAAAGTCTTTCTGTTAATATTAATAAATCTTAAAGACAGTTATCAAGGCCTATCAGGCTTGGCAACAACGAAAACTAAAGATCCTTTTGAAAATATATTAGTGTTACTCATCGTTGAATCCAAATAACAGTTGCGCTATATGGCTTGGAATAAGTTAGTATATCGGCGATACATACAGCAACGTGATATGTTTTTTTGAATTATTTGAATTTCTATGTCAGGAATGTAAATAGTTGGTATTTGGGGTAGTGTAGAGGTTGAAATTACTTGTTGTTAGATATTAATAAGTGTATGGATTTCATAATTATTAATATAAAGTAAATAGTTATTATTCTTTTTTAATGATTTAATATAAGAAATATTAATAAAAGTCTAAGATATTGGTATAAATAAATCAGTAAAGATTAGAGATATTAACTCAGAAGAGATGATAAAAAGAGAAAAAGTTAAGTAATTTTTTAATAAAGAGAATTTGTGAGTTATTAACAATAAAAGATTATTTATCTAATAGTAATAGGTGATAAGAAGTAATTGTATTAAAAGAATTAGTAAAGGTATTAATATTTGGTAAATTAAGATATAGTTATGTTTGAAAAATTATACTGTTTTGAATAAAATTGAAAAGATTAGTAAACCAAAATAAAGTAAGTTTATTTATAGATTTC